TTTATATCAAATCTCTCAGAATTAATTAAGAATCTGTTCCAACGAAACTGATTAAGTTTGTAGGATTCACTGTCATTTTTTCCAGGTTAAATCAAAGATGAGAAGATATACCAAATATAATAAATGGAAGAAAAGGACAAGACATTTGCAAACATACCAGTTAATAAAGTAAGTCAGAAAAAATGTAAGTCTACATTTATTTGAAAAACGTAAAAGACAAAGAAAAATGTACTTGTTCATCTGGTGGTGAAGAAGACCCAAATGTTGGAAGCAGGCAGGAAATGAAACTGACTGCACACACTTCCATGACACATCAACCAAAGATGACAATAAAATAAGAACATGGAAATATGCTGGTGAAGTTCTTAGTCATCCAGGTCGTGGTAATCCATGATAATCTTCATTTGAACCCCTGTGAAGGACACGGAAAGATAAAAAGGAAACCAGGAAGTGGATCGATGGAAGGAAAGTGATGTTTTTAAAGAAAAACCATCCAAGAGAAACCATTTTTTACTTGTTCCTGTTTTAAAATGTTCGGTCTCTCTGAGTTCAACATGCAGGCTGAATGGGAAGATTGTGTCCTATTTGTTGCATTAGCGTCTGACAGTAAACAGATGGTGAAACGCTAATATTTGAAAACCCTGACAGATCTACATCACACTGTCACACTGACGACCCAACACACCCACCACCGTCTGATTGGCCCTCTGAAGCTCACGCCTAACTATAGAAAGAGCCTCAGACTGGCGGCTAGAATCAGCCTGCAACAGCTTCCCGTGTGCGCGATTCATCGTCAGGCTGATTCAGTGGAGTAAACGTCTTTTCTGACTGCAGCCTGCCTCTCCAGCCATGGGAGCACGAGGACAGGCAGCAGTGAGGAGCACACAGCACTCTCACTGACAGAGTGGGAAGCAGTGTGCTTCACATCCAGCCGTTTTTACAAAACAATGCTGTCAATTTGCTGCAACGCTGAGGCTTAGCTCGTGTATAAGTGGTCAGACCATTCCAGTAATGGTGCACAATCGTGTCCTTTTTATAAAAGATTAGGCAAAGATTAGGTTTCTGCGCTGCCACAGACTTGCATTTATCTTGGACATTATTTGCTTTACATTGCGACTGAAGCCGCGATTATGAAGTTTTTTTAACAAGCTGCTCCTAAAGGTGTTTGCCCCCATCAGTCCACGAGCAGCCTCTGATGATCTGAGCTTCAGCTTTAGCAGAAAGATGCCCAAGGTACGCTGCGGCGCTCCAGTTTTCCATCTCAGCTTTGTTCCAAAAGCAACACTTACTGCCCGTGTCTACTTTCATTTTTAATATATTTGCTGGCCGGAGCTCGGCATTAGCTCCCCACGTCATCATGACACCTCCCTCTGCTCCGCCATGGCACAATAGCCATTTATAAGACAAGTCATCACCGCAATAAAACTACCAAGCGAGGTGGAATGAATGCCACAAAATTCGTGCAACGCCACGCCGGCATGGTGCATTTATAAGACATGCGTTAAGATTATAATACGCCGATTTGCCGGCATGGTGTGTTTTGTGAAAAGGGCTTCAGAGTCAACACTGCTCACACTTTGTTTATTAACTTAAGGAAAACAACATGGACTCCTCCGCTCGTCTTTTGCCCCACTCACATGTTCGAAGACATCCACATTCCTGAGAAGGCTGTGTGAAACAAGCCTGGCCGTGCGCTACCAAGACCAGGCCAGACCAGGCCAGATGTGAACATACCGTAACTTCTACTTTCTGACACAGAAGTGGCAGAGATTTTGTTCCACAGTTTGACTCACAAGTTTAGACTGAAGACCACAGCAAATGTATAAAAAAATGAATGAGCGCTTAAATGAGGGTGTGACAGCAAAATAAATTATAATAATAATCAAGAAACATATTCTACAAAGTGAAATGATTAACCTAAAAGTTATAAAGCTTTTTCATTGAAGGTTGCACAGAAGTGAAACTGGAATTTCAATCCTTCATTCCTGTTTTTTTTACCTGCTTTGCTTTCACATCTTAGAGTCCCTGAAAACAAATAGATGAACAACAAAACCACACAATCATAAAGAAATGGGATGTAAATAAAAATGGTTACTCACAATAAGGCATGTGCCTTAAATATATGTGCAAATTTGGCAAAATTAACATGATTTTCTTCTGTAGTTTCATCAAAAGTTACATTACATTCACAACAAAATACAGAATTATTTAGACTTATTCTGTCATCAATTTCTGTCAAAAACGTGATCATTCTGAAAATGCTACTGAACTGTTCCTCACTTAGCTTATTGACTTAACACAACATAACCTGAAGTTTGTGTAACTGAAATACCACCTGTAGTTTTACAGTGTAAAAGCTCACTAAGGAATAAAGGTGAAGAAGAAAAATGAATGCGTTTCCAAAATATCATTTGTTTCAGTCCGTCTCTGTTTTAGGTCCCACAGCTGGTTTAACGACGTCAAAACATCATAAAATACAAGCTAACTTCATTTGTCCTGATTCATTCTGATGTTTGTCAGACAAAAATACACTGTTAGATGTCAAAGGATCAGGATCTGCTTGTCTCATCTAAACAAGTGCACGCGCGTGCGCGCACACACACACACACACACACACACACACTTATGCTTATATATTCCAAAGAACAGGTCTGATATAACCGCCAAAAAGCGGAAGAAAGAAAAACATCAGAGGATCCTGGTGGCCTGGTTCTCATTTTAAAATAATTTTCTGCAATTTCCATCATCACAAAGGATGGCATTAAATGCAAAAAGGTTCCTTTTGAAACTGAATTGCTTTGTTTCAGAGAGCCCTGGCTTCACTTTGATATATATATATATATATATATATATATATATATATATATATATATATATATATATATATATATATATATATATACACACATATGTATATATATATATATATATATATATATATATATATATATATACACACATATGTATATATATATATATATACACACATATGTATATATATATATACACACATATGTATATATATATATACACACATATGTATATATATATATATATACACATATGTATATATATATATATATATATATATATATATATATATATACATATATATGTGTGTGTGTGTGTGTAATCTTATAACAATCTGCTTCTAATAAAATAGGTAGTAACAAGACAAATAAATCACTTTCATCACAATGTTTAATGATGTTAAAATATTTTTACATTCTGTTACTTTAGATCCCTTGTTGACCCAAAATTTGTTTAAAAAGTGCAAAAACAAAAAGATGTGACCTCAAAACATTAAGAAATTGTGTTTTTAATTAAAGCATTACCAAAGCGAATTAAAAATAATTAAGGGTAATACACCTTCTTCAAATGTTATCACCCTATTGAACGGCCTTATCCAATGATGACGTTCATGGGGTGAATTCATTCAAAGAGGGTGTATTCATTTAGAACATTTTCAAATGCTTGACATTGACTATCAACTAGAACATGTTCATTTTAACATATTTTGGGGTTTCTTGTTTTGTTTTTTTAGTTTTTGTTTCTTCGTGGAAATGTGTAGGGTAAAAATGACAGATTCATTTTCTTAGTCTAAAGAAAGCTTAAAATAATAAATATGTATGTAGACATTTACATATGTTTATTGATTTAAGTTAACATTTAACCCAAACCAATCCTAGAAACAACTAAGCTGTTTAAAACAAATATATTTATTTACAATGTTTCTAAAGCTCAGACTGAGTTGTTCTGTATGATTGTGAGTTTTGACTTCAGCCTGCAGGTTTAGTTTCATCACGTCACCCTTGGAGCAGAGTTTAGCAGTGAAACACGCTGCATAAGGAGCCCATCATCATCATTATCCTTTGAAGTAGAGTGATTCTTTAAGAAAGATTCCTCCCTCCCCTGGAAGGAGAGGGAGGAATCTTAAGTTACGAACTTCACATCAAAGTCTGACGATGAGCTTGTCGTACCACCCGAAACAAAATGAGTTTAAAAAATCAGAGCAGTTGAAGGTTTATTTATTTTATTTTATTTTTTCAAGCTTTGAGTATTTTAGGTTTAGCAAAAGGTCATGGACAAGAACTTTGTAGATGTGCAGTTTACAGAAGAAAAAAAACACGAGGATACAGTAACTACATTTAAAAAACCTAAATAAATAATATTTTTAAATATTTTATGCTCGCATAAATGTTAAAATAAAAGTGATGCTTATGAGAAAGACATTTTCTTTTTCTTGCATTTGTCTGAAGCTCAGTTTCAACTCCTTTGTGCAGCATTTTCTAAATATTTAATTATTTGTTTTGCATTTTGTGTAACAGAAAAAGCATTTAATTTATTCAGATGGGATATTTTTCAGATGACAAATAAACAATGATTTATGTGCAAAAGTAATAAATGCAAAATATGAAGTTGAACCCAAATGCATTTCACTAAACACAAGCTCTTTAATTGATGCAGAAATTCAATAACTGTATTGCTTTATGACATTTTATTCATTAGAAATGATTCATGATTTTCTGTCCTTTTATTCCATTCATTGCTGAATCAATGTGCTACATGTTACATTTTTTTTTTTTTTGTTTAATCGGGACATCAGCGAGAAGATTTATGCAAAATTATCTATTTAACAGCCTAAAAAACACCTGCAGATTATGGAATAAAATAAAATAAAAGTTCAGTTCCACCTTTTGAACCTCCTGCTTCTTGTCCCCAGCAGTTTGAACTTATTCCTCTTTCAGTTGTAAGAATCTGCTGGAGAATAAATCAGCCGTTTTAAAATATGTTTCAGGTTCGGGATCTGAAATTGTTCCGAGTTGTTCAACTTTCCCCACAAATAAACTCTCCATCTGAGACATTATTTCATCCCTTGTTTGGAATAAAAAAATATTTATAATTTAGTCATAATTTCAAGCAACCACGTGAAATTTGTCAAGAGCCTGTCACCTGCATGTTTGGTTCTTTTTAAAACACGGAAAAGGTTTGTTTTTTACCTTGCTGCTGACGGTTTTGTTTACCGGCTGTAAACTTCCTCAGAGCTGATGCTGATGGTGGTGTCACTTCCTTCTCCGTTTATCCGCGGGCAGCAGAGGACGTTGTCGCCTGTGTTTTACAAAACAACCAAAAATGCAGTTTGTAACTAAATACAGCAAGAACACACCAAAGAAGCCTGTCACCTGGTAATGGTGAGGCCTCTGCTGTACCACGCCCCTCAAGAATACAACAAGAGGGATTTGGGGGCTAAGGCCTATAGGGGGAGGAAATGGGATGGGTGGGGCTGCCAAACAGTGGTCTCTCACTTCAGCCTCCAGCCCCCCCCCCCCCCCCCAATTTTTTTGAATAGAATAAATTGTAATGATCCCACAGTGGGGAAATTCACTTGTTACAGCAGCACCAACACTTAAGAGAATAATTTGAAGAGAAAATAATAACAAAGGTACGTGTATATACACATAGGCAGTAGTCTAGAATTGTAACCTTCGACCACTAAAAACCACAAATAAAAAAAGGAAAAAACTTGGGTTCGAGAACTATGCAGGATACTGTAAGATACACGGACATTCTATGTAAATCTGGTATTGAACACATACTGAGTATAGCATTGGTGTTATTGTGCAGCAGGATAATGCCAGTACAGCTTAAACTGAGGAGTTATACGCTTTTACTGCAGAGCGGATGAATGACCTACGGTAGCATTCTGTTTTACATCTAGGATGTCTCAGTCTACCTCTGAAGGAGCTGTCCATGGTCTCCACAGTGGAATGCAGTGGGCTGGAGTTTTTTTTTAACCAATCAACATTATCACACACCTGCATACTCATTGATCCACCTGTGGGCTAGTGGTGATCGCTTAGGCTTCACCACGTCTGCTTCTGCCCTCTAAGCTCTGTCGACCTGACCAGGGCTTGGGATGTGGGACTACCTGTGGGGCTTTGGGACCATTGTGGGGATGGATGTGTGGGAATGGGTGCCCCCAAGTTGGGGTACGATCTGGAGGCCCTGAACCATGCTGTGGCATGGTGGGTGGCTGGCTGTTGGTTTGGGATCTCGGGCATCTTGGGCAGCCTTCTGCCTTGGGGCCTACTCCTCGAATGGGGAGGGCAGGGCTCAATTTGAGCCAGATCTTGCCAGAACAAGATCCGGGAACTGTCTTAATTTGAAACGACCATTCCGGCAACTGTCTGCTATGTTCCGGCACTTCACGCAAACAACTTGTGCTATCAAATTACGGGTGAGCTAAAAGGAGCCCGGCTCACCCCAAAGGATGACAGGCTCCGCTGGAAGCCCTCAACTTACACACCCAGGGGGAGCCCAAAAAGCAAGCAGGGGAACAGTAAACCAACCCAGACTCCGCCGAGAAGCAGGGCCAGGGTAGCTTAGTCGCCCCATGCTGGCTGTCCCTCACAAGGCGGGAGGCTCCAGGATTGGTGGTCCCTAATGGCCCCATCTTCCCTGGGCTCTGGTCTGCCCTCTGGGCTGGCCTATTGGTGCCCATCTACTGGTGGCTGTCAGCTTCTGGAGCACCTGGACTCTGGCATTGGTGGGTCCTGGGCTGCTGCGATACCTTTTGTCTGCAAGCAGCCCCTCCCTCATCACATACACAACATTTAAAAGCAACACTCTTCACCCTGCCTGTCCACTCCGGTGCATAAGTGAACGCGGTCTAACATGCCACAAACATAATATAAACATAAAGGCCATGGTGCAAAAGGAGTAATATCCACATTCCTCTTGCCGTAGACTAAAACTGCTTTGGTGGATTATGGCACTTGGATCACCAATTCTTTCTGCATCTACTGATAGGACAGGACAAGTTACAAAAAAATAAATAATTCAACAGTTTTATCATGCAGATGTGATCATTGCTTTAAAAATACAAAACAAAAACTTTTCATTTTGCAGAGAAAATATCATCCAGGTTACGTTCCTGCTGTTTTCAACCTAACCAAGAATGTAGAGTTACAGCTGCAGAGTGGGTCAAAGTGGTTCGCTTTTCTCCACGCGCACACTTTTTTACAAATTTCAACTGTTTTTTTAAAAATGCTTTTGGGCATATTTTAAATACCATTTAAACTAGTGGTTTCTGTGGCACATTGGTTCATATTCTTTCAAATCTGATTAAATGTTTTCATTTGAAACTGCCAATAATGTCACAGTAACTCATTTGGTTTCTGCCCTCAAGTCAAACTTGAGAAATTTGGTTGTTGCTTTGAAACAATCGATGGCTCTTTTGAAGGCCACTAAAAACACTGAAATATCCCCAAACCGTAAAGGTCGTTGTAACAACATGGACTTATCTGAGCCTTTATCTCCTCTCATCTAAATTACTGTAACACTCTTTTCACATGCTTCAACAAAAAAAAGCCCTTGACCGCCTTCAGTCGGTCCGGAACTCTGCAGCTTTTAATTTAATTAAAATTTTACATATTTTCTATTTCAAAGTTATGATATTGATAAAATTGTGAGGAACAAACTCACAACTGTCACCAATGGCTGCCCGGCACAAATAACCTTTAAGAGTTAATATATTTGTTCATCGTCCGCTTATCCGGAGTCGGGTCGCGGGGGCAGCAGCCTAAGTCGAGAGGCCCAGACTTCCCTCTCCCCAGCCACTTGGGCCAGCTCTTCCGAGGGAATCCCAAGGTGTTCCCTGGCCAGGTGAGAGACATAGTCCCTCCAACGTGTCCTGGGTCTACCTTTAGGACTCCTCTCAGTTAGGCGTGCCCAGAAAACCTCACCAGGGAGGCGTCCATGAGGCGTCCTGACCAGATGCCCGAGCCATCTCATATGCAGTATTTATTATTATTTCAAAATGGCTGATCTCAGAATGTGAAAACATGGAGGTAATAGCTCAGTAGGTGGTCCTTCAGTTCACAGGACTCCGAAAATCAAACAAACCTGAATTGCTGCCTCCGGGACCACCTCTGAATGTGGGTAGAATGATTGAATCCAAGTGCATCATTGATTCCTCCTGACAGCATCTGGATGTTTGGACCAGTTCTGTACAACCCATTGGGAGATTATCTGTACTTATAAGTACTTTATACTTTTATCATCTGGTAATGCCTCAAAACACAGAACAAGGGTTGATAATTAGATATAAAATGTTGTCTTCTCTTACATCAGCGATGACATCATCTTTTTGACCATTAACGCTTACTAGAAAGCTCTTGGTGTTGAAAAAGGATGCTGGATTAGGACTGCAGCTGTTTAAATGTGCAACACTAAATGTGGTAGAAAGTGAATCAAGGCACTCTAAATAAAAGGTATAATTAATTATTTCAAAAAGTTAAAAAAACAAATGACAAAATTATTAAAAACTGCAAAAAGAAAAAAAATATGTTTTGTAATTCAGTTTTAAATATTAGATGTGTGTATTTATATTTAATTGCTTCATATTATTAATTAACCTATTTGTGCCACAGTAAATTGATTTAAAAAATCTGTCACACAGTTCAGTGATGGCACCCTCACAAAGCATAGCAGTGTTACATTTTTCTGATCCATAAGAGATTAAATTTTTAACTGAAGATTAGTTAATTTAGAGCGACTCTCGGCGAGATGATGCAATACAAATTTCAGCCAGTACGAACAGTACAGCTGCAATAGGTTTTTAAAGATAAATGAATAATTATTTTGTACTTCCTCTCTTTTGGCTTTTCCTGTCAGGGTTTGTCACGGCCAATCATCCGTCTCTGTTTGATTTTAGTTTTACTTAAAGTATTACAATTAACCTTTGTGGCATTTTATCTTTAGAGTCCAAAGATGCGATACTGTGAAAAGCAAAAGCACACACACACACACAAAAAATAGCAGGTAAAATAGAAACTAATTCAAACAGGTTTCTATTATTATGTCACTCATTTTTTTATGTGTTGGGTTAAACAAGAAACAATCTTTACAGAACATTTAAAAAGTTTGTGTAAAAAAATCACGCCTGATAAAATCCTTAATTAGACAAAACTGCAGCATTTTCTCATATTTTATTTTGACATAATACAATCATTATATTGAAGATGCATACTTATTGTAATATTTTGTCATACGTTCAGAAGCTCAAGTTTAATCACAAATCTAATGATGTGCGAGTCCTGCCACGTAATCACAACAGATTTGTATTTTCTGATCATTTCTGAATTTTGGGGAAGCTGATTTGCTGCTCATGGATCATTTCGGTTCAGTCGATAGATGGAGCCCTGACAGCGTTGGTGCTTCGCTTTGAAAACTGTTTGTGCCGATTTAGATGTTATTCCTGTGTTGTTGTCAACTTTTATGACCTAACAATGGGAATTTATAGTGAAGGTTTGTGTGAGCAGCTGTGGTGTTCCATCACTATTTATTACCTGATCTCCCTTGTTTCTGCTTTTCGGTCACGACTGTGAATAAATGTGTCAAATCACATCGTGAAATTCAACAGAATGGTACTTTTCTAGCTCCCCGTTGACCCGTTGAGTTCAAATTCTTTATTTTGTTCAAAATCAAATGCTCTGTTGTTTGTTGTGCTTAAAGGCCACAGCTGGAAAAGCCTTTTGGTGCCGTTGGCTCATGACGAAAAGCTGAGGAATGTTCTATAAAGTTTATGGACACTGATTTCCTTTTCTTGGAAAGCGGAAGATGTTTGAACAGTTCTAATCCGCATTGTGTAAAGGCTTCAGACATCTTATTTTGTTATTTCCTCACAATGCCCTTTCAACAGAAAGTGTGTCCTGAAACCATTTTAGAAGAAGAAATTAGACACAAAATTCTCCTTACCTGTACAGTTTGTCACGCTCGATGTTTTGCTATCACGTCTCTTTGGTGTGCCACTCTCAGGTCTTCCCTTCACGTCTTAATCCTTTCTGCTACGGGTCTCTCTCTTCTTTCTTTCTTTAAGTCTCAAAGTCACCGCTTTCCGTTTCCCTCCTGTCTTTTATCCCACCGTTGACCTTTGATTTAGTCTTTTTTTTTTTGTTTGCTTTGGATGATTTTTTCCTCCTTTTTGCTGATTTAGGACTACAGCCTTCTTTTCTGTCCAGTATTTTTTTGTCCAAATTTCTTTTTAATCCTTGTTTCCCTAGTTTCTCCTTTATCTCTGCTGAAGAAGGAGTACCTTGGCACGCTTTGTGCTTTTGATAATGAAGACATACTGGGAGGTTTGCTCGGGGGGGCGGGACCACGGCTGCAGAGAATTGGGGAATGAAAGGTCAAATTCTGCAGACGATAGACAGATAAATTTGAACCAGACCCTCCAGTAAAGTGCTGCCGATGGTAGGTGTTACTACAATGTGCCTGAGCTACTGTTTATGGCAGGCTGAAATGTGCCTGATCAGTGAGGTTCTTCATAAATTTGTTGCGCCATTGCAGTTAGATCTGTTTAGTGTTTGTGTTAACCACAATGAATGAACATTTATGAACCAGTTTCTCTAAATGTAAAACTTCTCCAGATCTTTTTTCTTTTTACCCCTCCTCCCACAAATATTTCCTACAACCATAAAACACTTTCTAGGAGCTTTTGGTCCAAGTTTAGTCAGTGAAGCTTTAATATTGGCTAAAAATCTGTTTAATCTCACTTTAGAAACAATTTTATGTTGTAATATTTTTTTAAACCCATGTTGTTTGTGATTATTTATATAAAGGAATATAAAACATTAGGTTAATCTAAAAACATGTGGGCAATACTGTCAATAAAATCTTTTTTAAATGAAATAAAAAGGACCAAAAATTAAATAATGTGGGTCTCCGTGAGTAATATTTTAAAGCTTTGATTCAAGCTTCATCACTTGTGGCTTTAAAGTTACGAGTAACTTTGATTGTTAGTGCTAAATTAGCATCAAATGACATTTTAATCATTTTTTGGCAATAACTTCATTGACCCATTTGAGATCAATTTAGATATTTTTGTTATAAAATTCAAAATCAGTGACGGGTCTGAAAATAAAACAGGTTAAACCTTGTATAAAGTGAAATTGTTGTTGCTTTTGAAATGTCTTTTCATCAATACTAAACTCTGAAGGGTCGAGCAATAAAAGTGGTCAAATGGGGATATTATCACCCCACTAAAAAGGGGGCAGAGGATGTCAGAGTACAGATGAATTTAACAATTTCACTTTTATCTCGGACATGAGACATTTTTACCTACAAACATGAAAAACCCGTCAGTTCTGAGAAAACAAGGATGTTATGGGTGCGGCCATGTCTGCAGGTCAGCCTAGATGGTGCCATGAGTGAATGTCAAACACAAATGTTAGGTAGAAAAGACAGAGAAAGTCTGCACTCTCATGTCTACAGCGTGTCATGAAACGTGCACATCTGTATGAAAATTACTTTTCATCTGATCATGGGAAAGTCTGGGAAACAGTACAGATGGCTTAGAGGTGAACTGGAATCAGATCTTATAAAAACCTAACTCAAAATTTAATTTCACTAAATGCCTAACAAATAAATTGATATGTCTGAAGACAGGATTTTCAGATTGTGTGCTTGTAATAAACTGAGCTAAATAAACAAATCTCTATTATCACAAACACAAACAGACTCAGCTGTTGGCAGATTTCATCTGAGATCACGTTCCCCCAGTTATGAGATGAGGAGAATGTTTTTCTGAACAGTCGACTCTGGGTGGAGACCTAATGACTAGAAATGTATCGGACGAATTCCAAGATGAGAGATTTCATGAAATTCATCTATCCCAATCACAGCCACCAGTGTTTTCCTGGTGTTTTGGAATAAATGATCCGCTTGTCCAAATGTGGGTCAAGGACTGCCAGGAAAAAAAACCTGCAATAGCTTCTGAAAGTCGTGTCTGGAACACCAGGGCTCTGAACTGGAACCCGTCAGATTTCATATCAACAACTTCTCCTGGGATGTAGGAAGAACTTCCTAGGTGTGACATTTTTTTCTCCATGAGATGTTTCTAGACCACCACTTGTTTAGGTTCTCCAAGTTGGTCCAAATTTCAAATGATTTCAAATGTCTGATGTAGTGATTACAAAATGAATCATTGACCCTTGACCCAAGTTGGCAACAAGTACACACATTGGAACACACCCAATAAAAATACCAGGATTGTTTTTTGGTATCCAATATGATGCCTGTGTACTCATTTGCTCCACAAGCTGATAAGCAGGGCAGGCACCTGCTTGGGGCCACCAGGGGTCCCTATAGGGCCAACAAACTTTGAACCAAGTCAGAAACTCATCAGCAGTGAGACAGTAGCTATGTTTACATGGGCACAAGTATTCTGAACGAATCCCCTATCAGATCAAAAATCCTTCATGTAAACATGTCAATCGGAATATTCTGATCGGCTTTGGCCGGATATATGATTACATTCTTGTTCCATTTCTGCTTTCTGTTTGTAACAGCCTCCAATTGCTTCCAGCTGTGTGTGATTTACACCCCTGTGTGTACTTAAACCCCACCCAATTGGCTGGTTCAGTTGCCAGTTTGTAATTGTCACATGCATCTATGTTCCAGCTTTCATTGTTCATCGGATTTGGTTTTTTGATCATACTTATGTTTTGGCTTTTCAGACCGTTGCTTTGCCCAGACATTCACTGCTTGAAGCATCATTCAGTGTTTAAAGTGACACTTGCTGGTGGAGCTAAACCATTACAGCCAAATTGTCACTGATGGCAAACATGTCTAACCCAAAGGCACAAAAACTAAATGCATTGTACATGTTTTATAACTCTCCTGTCCATTGAAGATCACTGGTTTTTGTCTCATGGGCTCACTGTTCATTAGGCATGTTTTGTGTGGCTTGTGATTAGCTTATTAGGGAGCACGTTATGCTTGCTTGTAGATAAAAAGGCTGTTAAAAACACAATTCAAACCCCCCTTTTTTCAGGCTACCCTTCCAAGCCACACCTCCAGAATACAGGAGAATGCCAGGCACAACAGATAATGTCAAACAACCATACAAACATAATATCTTACCATTTCAACTCATGTTGGCACCTTTTCTGCAATCATTCCCAACGTACAATGTTGTTTGTTGCTGGCCAGAAGTTCTCTGGACTCTGTTCATGCGGAAGTTTTAAAGGGACACTGGGCAGTTTTGGCTTGCTTTTAGCACCCCCTAGTGTTCTGTTTGTGAAAATTAAAGTGAAACTTATTCCCTGGTTTAAAACTGTTGAAGTGTCTCCTCAGCCATCATTAGTGTCTACAAGAGCGATTCATCACTAAATCAAATACATCAGCTGTGTTCATGATCTAAAACATGCAGGAAACATGTTGGAAGCAGACTGCAGCTCCAGGAATGTGAGCTCCACTTTTACTAAGTCCAGCAGGGACGGTACCAGCGCGCTGATGTTGCAAGTGGCCATAGAGGGAGGTGGAGGTCTGAGTGACATTTCATCAACCCAGTAAAGGGGCATTTTAGCACATACTGGCTCAGAAATGTATTTGAAAATATGAAAAAGTTGCATAGCTTTAAAAAGGAGACCATTAGATCAGAGAAACTGGGAGGGAGGACTGGTCTTGTCACTCTGGAACCCCCCTCCACTACTTATCCTCAGGCTATGTAACTGCATAACTATTTAGTATGCTGGTGAATTAGCAGTTTGTGTCCATGGATGGGTTTGTGCAAAGGGGGAGGAACAGTTAGAGAGCCGTTTGATGGATGATCAGAATACAATCAATGAAGCAGAAATTAAGAGATTTTTGTCAGAGGACCCCATCTAGAGGTGGAAAGATGAATCACATCTTAAGCCAGTAACTACGGGGCATTGTTTGTCACTGGTCATTTACTCCAAACCTCTAATCGGCGCTCAGTACATGCCTCAGAGCCTCAGCTTCAAGCATCCCATCACTGCTGTACTCATGTTATTTGGATTTTACATTTCTACTTTGAAATGAAATAAAGATGGTTTTAGAAATAGCTGCTTTGAATTTGCTGTCAGCACCAATCAAACCGAACCTAAACCATTTTAGATTACGGAGCTAATGCAGCACAGGAAGTCAGTACAATATCACATTTACAGACCATTTTGGGGCATTTGGCAGATCATGATCAAGTCTAAAGTGGAACCTTAACCCTCCCACTATCTTCATGGGTGACCCTGCCAGGAAAGTTGACCATTGAGCAGGGTTGAGGGTTTTTCCCTTGAGGTCCACGTGACAAGGGTGAGGAGTGAGCACCACCTCACCCTTGCCATGTGGACCCAAGGGATAAACCATCAAACCTGCGCAATGGTCAACTTTCCTGGCGGGGTCACCCATGGAGATAGTGGGAGGGATAAAGTTGGTCTTTAGGTTTTCTTTTTCTTTATTTTTTTATTTATTTGTTGTTGTTTTTTTTGAGAAAAATAAAAACCACAAAGTAGAAATTCAGTATGCTGACATTGTTCGTTTTTTTACATTGTTTAGTTGTGGGTTTAAGATGTATTATTACAGCTATGCATGCATTTCTGCCTTGCTTTCATTCTTCATCTAAAGATCAATCCAGTATTGCAGTAAAGCTCCACATGTGACCTTCAGATGTCTTAGACTTTCCCTGCAGATACTCAACCTGAGGTTCATGATCAACGTTAATCTTCTTGCTAGGACAACGGAAAAACTCTAGTTATTTTACTGAGAGGTGATCACCCGCAGTGTCCCTGGAGAGATTGGATGGCTTCCTTCCTTTCCCTAAAAGTGTCAAAGATTGGTGAAAAAAAGTGGAAGTTGGAGGTCTTCTTTCCAAAATCCCAGATTAGAAATATTTATGTCCAGTTTGTGAGCAGGCCCAAACATTGGATGATGGATGTGACAGAACCATTGAATCAACTCTGAAGTTTTCTCCCCAAATGTGCCATTTGTCTTTTTTCTTTCCTTAAAAGTTATCTCACTGACTGGGAAACAAAACTAACAGGAAACATCCTCCATTCTCGGACTACTGGGAATATTTCTCCCATCAGGTGACTAGAAAGAGAGGTCAAGCCTGACAGGAGCAGCAGTTTTAACCTTTGACTTCACCAGATTTATCTGGAATGTGACCTTTTGTGAGATTTATTGCAGTGACTTCATGTAGATAAAAGAATAAAGTGACTTTCAAATGGAACAAAGAATAGAAGATATTTTGGGGAAGTTTCAGTCAACTCAAATTCCAGTTTTATCAGGGATAAAATCAACAAACACAATATCTCATTGCAAATAGTTCCCTCGA